GGACTTTATTTCAATCGCCATAGATATTGATAATATTTTACAAACATTATTGGTCTAATTTACTACATTTACTATGCAAACTAAACCGGGTAAAAGCTTGAGTATTATAATTTGGATGAACTAATTGATTACAATTTAATAAAGACCGACACTGAATTTATGGCAATATTGTACACTTTTACGTTAGTTTGATAAATTCAATCAAAGTTATATCCAGAGTATAGTATATTTTATGTAGAGCCTCTTCATTCTGTATTTGCCATGTATTCTTGCCACGAACTTGGTAAAATCTTGTAGGGTCATGGCAAGATCTGACTGGATTCTGGTAAGATATTGAAGGATCATGGCAAGATCTCGCAGGATTTTTGGTAAGATCTTGGAGGATCATGGCAAGATCTTGCTGGATTTCGGTAAGATCTTGGAGGATCATGGCAAGATCTCGCCGGATTTTTGGCAAGACCATGGCAAGATCTTGCTGGATTTTGGTAAGATCTTGGAGGATCATGGCAAGATCTTGCAGGATTTGTGGTAAGATCTTGGAGAATCATGGCAAGATCTTGCAGGATTTGTACCAAGATCATGCCAAGATGTTACATAAATCCTGCAAGATCATGGAAAGATCTTGCATGATCTTGCAAGATCTTTCCAAGTTCTTGCAGGATCTTACCTAAGATCTTGCAGGATCTTGCAAGATCTTTCCATGTTCTTGCAGGATCTTACCTAAGATCTTGCAAGATCTTGCCATTATCATGGCAAGATCTTGCCATTATCATGGCAAGATCTTGCAGGATTTGTACCAAGATCATGCCAAGATCTTACATAAATCCTGCAAGATCATGGAAAGATCTTGCAAGATCTTTCCAAGTTCTTGCAGGATCTTACCTAAGATCTTGCAGGATCTTGCAAGATCTTGCTATTATCATGGCAAGATCTTGTCATGATCATGGTAAGATCTTGCAAGATCCTGCAAGATCTTAGGTAAGATCCTGCAAGAACTTGGAAAGATCTTGCAAGATCATGCAAGATCTTTCCATGATCTTGCAGGATTTATGTAAGATCTTGGCATGATCTTGGTAAGATCTTGGGTAAGATCTTGTCAAGATCTTGCTGGGATCTTGGCAAGATTGTCAACCTGGGAACGTAATAACAAATTATAATTTAGGTTTTGGAAATCAGTGGGTTTTTATCAGGAAGCAGTGCGCGCTAACACTCTCTTACAACATTTCGACGGCCATTTTTAAACACCAAATTAAACAAAGTATAGAAATAAAATAACACTCGAAATAAAGTTTTTGGTTACTTAAATCTTATCTTTAAGTTTCTTATAATAGCTAAAAGTAACAAAAACATATAAATTTTACACAAGTAATATTTTATAAAGCAATAGTTTCAGCATACCTTCTGATGGGTCATATACGCGTAGCCATATTTGTTTACAATTAGAACGTCTTACCCCCCGCGAAGCCCGCATCACGGATGGGCAGTGCTTCCATTTTCAAGGAAATTTCCTTTTCTAAAGAAATTCTAGTGTCGAAAAGGAAAATCTAAGGAAGAGAAAAAATCTAAGGAAATCTAAGGATTTTTTCCCAACAACTTAAATATTCATCCAAGTGCATTAGTGCAGAAGAATGTTTCGCTATTTCTTGAATTTGTGAGTGAATTATCAATTATGTTCAATTAAAAATCTGGTTTTAACTTTTTCCTCGTGTTTCCGAAAACTTTGGAAAGTTTTTGAGCGACAGGATTTGGTATCTTTTGGCGCCAAACGCTGTGAATTAATTATTTATATCAATGGAAAGGTATATGTTGTAAACTCACTGAACAAATATTTAATTTTAAACAGTATAATAGCCTGTGGTTTTTTAGCTAGCAATTATCTTTGTTAATTGTGCTATTTTGTGCCTTTAAAATTGATTAAATCCTTTGTATTGCTACAAAAGCACTGCAAAGGTCTGCAAACCGCCTAAGGAATTTTCAAGGAAATAACGTATACAATCTAAGGAATTTAGAGAAATTTTGATGACAAAAATGAGAAATTTTGATTTTGAAAATGGAAGCACTGCGGATGGGTCCGCTCGATGTATGGCCGTTTCTACGCCCTCTCTCCCTTCGCCCTGATTAAAAAGCATGTCACATATAAAAAACATGAACGAGCCATTGCCCATAATAAAACAAAAGGGTGCAAAACTTGTTTATTTTTTCCCTTGGTGGGAAACTTGCCTAAAAAATTGTGTAATTCAAGCTGAAGTTATAATTTATCAAGACAAAACTAGTAGAAGACTAGGCTAGTTTGATAGAGATATGTCATATTCAAAATCACAATGGCAATTCAGCCGTTTTGAGCGTTTTCAGCCATTGGCCATTTTCATAATAAAACAAAGCGCCGCAAAAGCTTCTAACTTTTTCTAAGCGTCTAAGGTGTGAAACATATTGTAAAAATTTGTATAATTCAAACTGAAGTCACATATATCAAAAACAGACTAACAGAGAAATGACTGTTTTTAACCCTTTTAAAAAACTATTTTCCTAATAAAGCAAAGCATGCAAAAGTCTTTTTCCCTAGGTGGGAAATATGGTGTAAAAATTGGAAAAATTCAAGGAAAAATAAATTTTATAAGTGTACAGTAGGCCCTGACTATGAGTTTGTATGCACTTCATTTAGGCAGGGGTGTATATTCTTCTATAATTCCCCCCACCAAAAATGGAAGGACTGGGGGGAAAGAAGGGAAAAATTTCGGTGGGTTAAGTAATTTTATTCCATCTTGGGCTAGGGAAGGCCGTGGGGAGGGGCAAGACCAATGTGGTAAAGAATCCAGGCCGATGTAGCAAATATGGGGAAAAGAATCAAATCTGACAAGAAGGGGGGGGGGAATGGAATCAAAGATCATTGAAGAATATACACCCCTGCATTTAGGACAGATAATCTTAACTGTTTTGGGGTAAAATGGGCATGATGTCAACAACATGGCGACTATGCCAAAACCTGCAGTATCCAGGGCGAAACCTACCAAAATGGCCATGCCCAGAAAAGGCACCTTTGGCATACCTCTATCTACTAAACTGTAAAAGTTACACACTCTTTGAAGTTACTATGGTGTTTAGAATGATTGCATTTAGGGTGGTCACTATTAAAATTTGTCTGGGTATTACTGTTTCATGAAATAATGGCTGAGATAAGGCAACAGCTGATTTTCATCGTATAACCTTACATCTCATGCAAAGACTAGACAAGTTGTTATTTCTTAAACAGTGGCGTAGCCGGCATCGATAATTAAGGGGGCGAGTATTCATATATTGTGTTCTACATTATTAATTCTTTTGAAATCAATTGTTTTTAAGGTCTGTGAACACGAATATATGAATATTTGCCCCTTAATTATCAATTTGATGCTGGCTACAACCACGGTTAATAGAAGTGCTACAACACTGTTCCTAAATATTTTTTGCCTAGGAGCAAACTTTATGGTTATTTGAACATAATAACAATAATAACAACTTGCCCAAACATGCTTGGCCTGCTGTAATCTATCAAACGTGAAAATTTTCATTCCTTACTCCATTTCACATGATGCTAGAACTAATACCAATATGCTACTGGCATGAATACTTAGGCCTAGTATTTTTCTTGAAATACTAGGCCTATATACCAGGCCGCCTGGTACATATTTCGGAAGATGTACTCCCTCAAATGGTAAATCCCACACATGCAACTAGATCATCGAGTTTAAACTCCATCAGTTTTTGCCCTCAAAAATGTAAGACAGTCACCTATCAGCATTCATTTTTTATGCGTGTTACGAGAACCTGGAATGCTTTACCAGTAAACTTGAGGATGAAGGACATCAATTTAAATCAGTTCAAAACACTACTTCGAACTTACTATTTACATGCCCTACAAACGTGTTATGACGCGGAGGACCCCCGAACATGGAAGCCTGTGTGTCTGAAGTGCAACAGGACCGGAAGCCTGAATGATGAAATAGTTTGCTGTTACTAAATATAACAACAACCAAATACTGTTATTAAGGATTTTATCATAAAGGGCCCACAGTAATTGGTTTATGCTGTTGTGGTGTCCCCGCCAATTGTTTAGGTGTATTAATATTTGATGTGCATGTTTTAATGTTCACTACTGTTTTTGTACATCTGCAGTTATGTTGTCAGTTTGTATTTGGCGAAGATAAATATAAATAAATAAATAAATTTCAGCCACTCCACGCAAATTATTTCGGATATATTTGTAGTGAAAGAACAGCAAGGGTTCCAAGACCCTATTATTTAACACCACAGTCATTGAAGTCATGGATGTGATCTACAATGCTATAACCTTTCAACTACAGTATATCACTGATATTTATATCAACAAGGTTTACTGAAGTTAATCGAGCAGAAAAGAAGCGGGACATTGGCCACACGCTATATTTGATCAAAACAACAAATTTACAATATCGACGGTTAAATGTATATTACTGAAAACTGGGGAAACTTTATCTACAGAGCTTTAATTGTATATCCTTATGCTAAAGTATAATACATGGATTATATCTGCATTGCTTGATGGCAAAAGGCAAAGAAACAGGCGAAACATAGCTGAAATCGACAAATGCAGGGGGGGGGGTAAGTGTTGTAAACAATCTTTTAACTCAACAACATATTGTCAACCTTTATATGAATTACATTGTTATTATGTTCAAATGAACATAAAGTTTGCTCCTAGGCAAAAAATATTTAGGAAATAACAAATTGCAGTCTGCATGAGATATAAGGTTATATGATCAAAATCAGCTGTTGTCCTGTCATGGTGTATAGCCATTATCGCATGAAATATAATACCTAGACAAACTTTAATTGTAACCACCCTAAATGCAACCATTCTATAAGCACCATAGTAACTTCAAAGAGTGTGTAATTTTAACAGTTTAGTAGATAGAGGTATGCCAAAGGTGCCTTTGGCATAGTCACCATGTAGTTTGTCAAGCCCATTTTACCCCAAGACAGTTCATATTATCTGTCCTAAATGAAGTGCATACAAACTCTGAAACTCATAGTCAGGACCTAGACTTCTTGTTTTAAATCAGTTCAACACTAGATATTTTACATTCAAAAACACTAAGGAAATGCAGGCAGCACTTGCAACCATTAACAAAGCTATTTTTGTAATGAAATTAGGCACGCAAAAATAAGATATTGTCGTCCCAGATATTTAACCATTTATAGTAAAAATATTGAGACTATAACATACCTTATATCATCAAAAGCAGGTTCAATTACTAAACGAAATTTCACGCCTGGACCGTTTGTTTTCATATGTGAACGTCCAACTAAACATGCACTAACCTTTCGAGATCATTCTCTCCACTTTTCAAGGGCCGACAAGTATCTTAAAATCGGTTACCAAAGGTAGATTTTTATAATCAAATGCATAATATCATGTACTTTGTTTTTTTTTTGGGGGGGACGCGCGTTACACATACATCAGGGGCACATTGCTGTTTCGCCGGCCATCCTGCTTATTACATAAAAAGTCTTTTTACCACGAAAACTACATTAATTTTCAATGTTGGAATTTCAAATCAGTTCAAATCCACTTGTAGGTCAAACATTGATATTAAAATATTTATCATTTTCTTGTTTCACAGTACAAACCTTATCTTCGCCCTCGCACTACAAAATACAAACCATTCCAAACTTATAACCCAGTTTGCATACCTGCTGATCTTCTAAAACTTGAATTGTGTTCTCGTCTATTTCATTTTTTTGAAGCTCGTTCTTCAACTTGATGTCCATATGGTATTAAACAATACTTTCACCAAGACTACATAATTATACAGTTTGTTTTTAAGACATTTCAACAGTATATATCTAAAGTTAAATTGCAGGACGAAATTCGCCTTGACAAAATGGCGTGTCTTTTCATGGCAAAAAAATCAAGCACAGCAGGCTATAGCAATCAAACCAAAACGAAAACAGTCAAAATTTTTAAAAGTTAGCACAAGTGCCAAATAAAGATTTCAGTATGGTAGAAAAAATTTCAATTGTACTCTACTTACATGTAAAAACAAGACAAGAAACCTCCAAACCTCGAGCAAAAACCACTGCAGGCAAAAACAAATCAGCTCAGGCAAGCTTCAAAATCATTACCAGGTCATTTCGCGCCAAAATTTGTGTGATGCCATCCGATTGGCAAAAGATTATGTGACTTATCTAACAGCGATTTTGATTGGTTAAAGTAAATTTTCCTCTTGCTATTTACACACTACATTTCACGTTTGTACACTGCAGTCTGCGGCGAAAGTTAGCTGCACATTGCTGGAAATGCCTTGGCAATGCAGTATATGTGCAGCTTTCAACGCAGATGACCTACAAAAAATTCTTAATCATATTGGCAGATGCCATCGCAATGATCCGAACTTTCATTGTATTTGTGGAATAGATGGTTGCGCCCTAACATTTAGGAAATATTATTCGTGGCGGAAGCATATCTATCGAAAGCATGGACACCACGATCAAAATGGCAACCAAACAGAAGAAAACGATAATCAGCGGTTGGTCGCAAATAATTTAAATATTGAGGATATCGCGCCTGACCAAGATGTTCAAGACCAAGTTAAAAGGGCAAGTGCTTTATACTTACTAAAGCTACAAGAGGAGTGTAAACTGCCAAAATCAACTGTCAAGAGTGTTGTTGCTAATACTAAGAGCATTGTTCAAGAAACTCTGTCCGTTGTCAAAACTCAAGTAGAGCACTGCCTAGCCCAAAACGAAATAGATTTCGATACAGTCCCGGGCTTAAATCAGATCTTTGAAGAAAACAACGCTGCTACAAACCCGTTCAATATGCTGGAGACAGAAACACAACAAATGGCCTATTTCACGAAAGAATTCAATTTAAAGGTACTGAAGTACATGTTTCAGATTTTTGCAGGATTATACGAGGTTTATAATATCATCTTGACCTAAAATTAATTCTTAAGATCGAATAATCATTATTTATACAACGATAATCGATATAATAATTATGTTAGTTGAATGTAGTAAATCATGCCCTAACAATCAGGCTACAATCAATTGGCCAAGAGTCCCAATGTGTAAAAATATTGAGAAAATCACTTTAACTAAAGATGGTTAACTATTAAGAAATATGATGAACAACATAAATTTGTTAATTTTAAGCCAACCTTCTAGCTATGCTGATTAATTAGCTATTTAAATTTGAATGCTCTTGAAGATATTATTAGGTTTAATGTTGTTTAAATTAACCCATTGAGTCGCACCGCGCCCCGACGCACCCTACTTTAGTATTTTACTCTGCCTAACACCAGACAATTTTACTCGTCAAGGGGAGAGCGCTGGCGCTTAGTGGGTTAAAACTTTAACACATTAAAACTTTAACCCATTAAGCGTCAGCACTCTCCCCTTGACGAGTAAAATCGTCTGGCGTTAGACAGAGTAAAATACTCTGGCGTTAGACAGAGTAAAATACTAAAGTAGGGCGCATCAGGGCGCAATGCGACTCAATGGGTTAATATTTATAGTTTGATAGAAAAACTCAAACTACCAGACACAAGGAACATATGTGTTGTCCTATATATAGTGGACTATGTCCAACTATGCCCCTCAAAGGAGAATTAATGGGACTCTTAATTGCCCCCCCCCCCAAAAAAAAATATATATATAACTTGGTTTGCCCCCAATTGCCCCCCCCCCAAAAAAAAATTGGTGCCTGGCACCATGTTCCACTTTCTTGTTCCTTAACTGGAAATTAAATTGATCATTGAAATGAGGCCACAACCCTGGTACCTTCTCAAGTGAAGTATTATTGTAGCATATATAGCAACAAGTTGAACTTCATTCAATAAAAGTTTAAAGTGTAAAAATAAAGTCTACAGTGTTTAGTCATTGTAACATCCAGGTTAAAATGTGCAAATGTACAAATTTGGTTAAATTGTACATAGCCTGTCAAAAAAGTGTGATTTATGTAGAAACTGCACTAACTGGGGAGAATTACTGAATCTGGTAGCATCTGACTGCAAATTGGTTTTGAGAAAATAGTTGATTTGCTGATGTTTTAGGTTGAAAATCCCCACAGAAGTACAGATGGTCTAATCAGAGATTTTTGTGATGGGGAGCATTTTCGAAATCATCCTTTGTTTTCTGTGGATCCACAGGCACTACAAATCATGTTGTTTTATGATGATCTGGAAACGTGCAATCCGCTTGGGTCAAGGGCTACCAAACATAAACTAGGCATGTACTTTGATGTTACATTTGTGCATTGATTATGGTCATGGTTAAAAAAAAAGCAGTGAATGGATTCCAATTACAAATATATGCTAGTTATATAGCTACTACCAAACATGTTGCTTTCAGTATATATAAAGCCACACAATACAAAACACATTTCCTTGAGTAAAGCCATGGATATTAATTGATGAGTTATTTTTACATAATACTTTTAATATATTTTAGGAGCTTTTTACTATACACTAGGTAACATTGCACCTATGTATCGATCATCTGAAAAGGCTATACAGCTTTTGTGTTTATGTAAGACATCTCATATCAAGAAGTATGGCATAGATGCTGTTTTGAAACCATTTATGGCTGACTTGAAAAAACTAGAACAGGTATTAATCTATATTGCACAGTCTGTTATTTTGTAATTAGTTTGCTCTGAGGTCTGAATTAAGTGATGACTAGGGTCAGAGTTTAAATTATGACAAGTAAATTAATTGGAAGCCTAATAATTATGAAAGATTTTCCCTGAATTAACATAGCTGTAATATTAACCCATTGAGTTGCATTGCGCCCTGATGCGCCCTACTTTAGTATTTTACTCTGTCTAACGCCAGAGTATTTTACTCTGTCTAACGCCAGACGATTTTAGTCGTCAAGGGGAGACCGCTGGCGCTTAATGGGTTAACTGGCCTATCTGCCCTTGTGTCTAGTTAACCCATTGAGTTGCATTGCGCCCTGATGCGCCCTACTTTAGTATTTTACTCTGTCTAACGCCAGACGATTTTACTCGTCAAGGGGAGAACGCTGGCGCTTAATGGGTTAACTAATGTGACCTTTTATCATTGTTCAGGATTGTGGGCATTCTTTCCTGATCAATGGCAGTGTGAGAAGTTTTCGTGGAACCATAGCATATGCTTCTGGGGATAATCTTGGGTCTCATTCAATGGGAGGATTCAAAGAAGGTTGTCAGGCTCATCGTATGTGCCGCCACTGCCTTGGACTTGATGAGGAGATTAGATCTAAGGTACAAAATTCTACTAAATATATGATACTGTATGTTAAAAAAGGTTGCTGAGTATTGAAATGCATTATACTAACTGGTCAATGAGTTTAATTTAAATTCCTTGTATATTTTTACCTACATCTTTAATCCCAGCCTGTAACTACTGTACAGTTTTACTTCTTGCATTTCTCTGAGTCATTGACCTATTAAATAACCACTTGCACCAACTCACGCCAAAAATTTTTACTTGTTATATAACTACTTAGTTTGTAATTAACCATAGTATATATCAGTGAACTGTGTCAAAAAATTATGGTCTACACTGCAGTTATTGTCATAATGGCTGCTTGAAACACAGCGTGACTCGCAACTTGCGATGACTTGCATTCTCGTTCGGGTTTTGGATCCCCAGTAAAGATCCCTTTTTGTCTGAAAATGTGTGAAAATTATGCTGAAATTGCAGGAAATCAGGTCTTGGAAACTCAAAATTACAAAATATTTGTGGGGGAGGACCTCCAGACCCCCCAAAAGTCTGTATGTCACCACTTTTCATTTCTGTGCATGTCGTAGTGAAGTCTCTTTGTAGTTGCGTGGGCCCTGACCACTAACAAATCCTTTAAAAAGGCCCTGTATGGTTGTTATAGTTAGTACTTTTCTACAAAAACCTTTTTGATTTCAATTTTCAGTTTCACGAGAAATATTTTAATCTTCGAACCAGAGAAACCCACAATCATCAGTGTGGCCAAGTTTTGGCATTTGGGGAATACTTCAGCAAAACTTATGGTATTAATAGGCAATCTATCCTGAATCAAAGTAGATTTTTCCATGTCGTTGGAGGTTTGCCTACTGATGCCATGCATGACATCTTGGAAGGTCTTTTGCAGTACGAAACGAAAGAGATGTTAAAACAGTTCATCAAAGTCGATAGTTTCTTCAGTTTAGAGGAACTAAATCGTAGAATTGGCAAATTTGATTTTGGATACTACAATGACAAAAACAAACCTGCCCCAATTACCGAACAAAAACTGTCATCAAATGATAATAGCCTTAAGCAGCATGGTAAGTTTTGCTGGTACTGTGTCTTTCCTTTTGCGCTGTCGAGTGTCAGTGACACTATATTGATTGAATTTTTGTTCATTTACATGTACTATGCTGGTAGACTATTTTGTTTACATTATTTTAAATTAGCTTACTGTCATTTATTATTTAGCAAAAACCATTTATCAAATGAGAAGTTTTGTTATTCATCTATTTTCTTTCTTTTATAGCTGTTCAGATGTGGTGTCTGGCAAACCATCTACCGCTGATTATAGGTGACCTGATTCCTGAAGACAATGCAAATTGGCAGCTTTACTTGACATTATTGGATATTACATCTATTTGCTTTTCCCCAACTTTATCGAAGAACCAAATAGCTTATCTCCAAGTGTTAATCGAAGATTACCACAGTGAATTTTGCAAAATCTATCCTGCGTGTTCCATAATTCCCAAGATGCATTTTATGATCCACATGCCCAGTATTATGTTACAGTATGTATTGTATCCCTTACGAAAATTTCCTATAGGAATTCCTATAGGAAATCAAAATTCCTATAGGAATTCCTATAGGAATTGAAATTTCCTATAGGAATTCCTATAGGCATTGAACATTCCTATAGGAATTCCTATAGGAATTAAAATTTCCTATAGGCATTGAAAATTCCTCTAGGCAGTCCTATAGGAATTGAAATTTCCTATAGGAATTCCTATTGGCATTGAAAATTCCTATAGGAATTCCTATAGGAATTGAAAATGGTGAAAAAATTCCTATAGGAAAAAATATTCCTATAGGATTGGAAAATGGCTATAGGAATTCCTATAGGAAATGAAAATTCCTACAGGATTTGAAATTTAGGAATTCTTATAGGATTGGAAAATGGTGGGAAAAATTCATTGCCTATCTATACCACTATGGCCTGATACATGCATGGGTATAAGAACTTTACTTATATAAAAAATTATACAGATAAATATAATTTACGAAATAACTCCTTCCTACAGGAATTTCTATTTCTTATAGGAATTTTTTCACCATTATCATATCCTATAAGAGTTCTTATAGGAATTTTAATTTCTTATACAACTACACTATTCCTATATCGTATTTTACTCATAGACATTTATTAATAGAGAATTTAATACTGGGACTATTTATTTTCTAAGATTAAATGAATAATTACCGCAATGTGCGCGACTGACAGACTGGTGTCTAGTTTTCTTGCCACGCGCGCAAAGCATCAAGGGATAGATCATCACACCTCCGATATTTTTCAAGGGTGATCGCTAGATAGTATACTTCAAAATAAGGTTTCCGTTTTTATAACGTAGAAAAAACTATCGTAACGCAAAACTAAACCCTAACCCTAATACTAAACCTAACCCTAACCCCAACCTAACCCTAACCTAAACCCTAACCTAACTCTAACTTATTTTAAAAATAGAATAAAAACGGAAATCTTATTTTGACGTATACTATCTAGCAATTGCCATTTTTCAAGTCGGTGTTTGTCAATGGTTTATGTGCAAAATAGAACTATTTTTGATGGGATTCAACTGGATTTTCACTATAGTAATACATCAGGGATGTTTGCATAATGTTCAGGTAAGAATAAGTTTATATTTTATTTATAATAAAGCAAATTATAAAGGAAATACCTCCAATCTTCTTTTGTGAAATTCGAGCATGTGGTTCGATAAAATTTGAATTTGCCGCGACAATATAAACGGAATTAGAATGCTGATATAAATATATTTATAGCGTTTATACTTCAACAAATGCTACTATAAAAGTTTTATATTTGAATCAAACTTATCCATGTTTATTAATATATTTGTATATCCCAAGTGCCAACTGTATATGCCAGATTAATTGTAAATTGTCAGCCAGATTTAATGCATGCCTATAGAAAATTTAACTACTTGCTCAAATCAGCAGCAGTATTTATTCATATGTTTTGTTTAAATTAAACAATTTTCATTTTGAGAGGTCTTGCACCAGCCAATGTATTAAAATCTGTTAGCCTTTATAGACATGCTTTAGTGTAATGCCAGGAAAATTATCCATGTTTTCCTATTAATTAAACATAACTATGTGATGGTATTCATATTAACCAGGCTCTCTGCTAGCTTACATTTCATGCTAACTTGTTAAGATGAATGTGCTCAACTTTCAGCACTTTTTTATTTTACCTTTTCTAACACCAGATCATTTTACTTGAAAGAGAGTGGACAACTTTGATAGGTTACCTTGCTGTCTCCCTGTGTTTTGTGTAAACTCATTAAGACCCAATTCACACTAATGTGCTCTATTTCAAAGCTCAATATTTTGCCCTGTTAATACCAGACTATTTTGCATTATTTGGCGTTAGCACATTTAGATGTAATTCACCCTAAAGCCTAGTTTCCATTTTGTCGTTAGTTGTCGCTGGCACGACAAGCGGTAGATGTGAAATAGTCTAATATAATAATAGTCTGTTTGTGTGATATGCAAATCAGTCTTAATGATTGCAGAGTTTTTTGTTGACACTCTATTACATCAGCCACTTGTCGTGCCAGCGACAACTAATGACCAAATGGAAACTAGGCTTAACACTCAATCAGGGCATCTTTTAAGGATTCTTCAGTGGTGGGGCAAAACTACCAAAGGGCCCAGGCCATTTTTTTTCCCTTTCCCTGGATAGTACGCGAACACCAAAGGTGGGTTTAAGCACATGCCCTCGGGAATTTTTTAAAATTTTGGTCTCTGAAATAGCATTTCCTGCATTCTGAGAACACTTTTTAAAGAAATCTCAGGTTCTCAAAGGAAATTTTTAAAAGTGAAATTTGTGATAATTTGAAATTAAGATTCAAACACAACAAGTTTAAGTATGCTCACCAACCAATGTTGTATTTAAAAAGTATCATACTAGTTATATTTAAGGTATACTGTATGCTTCTGTGAATCACAGACATCCGGATTCTTGCTTGAAGAAATGTTTCACAAATTCCCTTTGTTTGTACAGTTCTTCACACGGCTCTCGGTTTCTTCTTTCTTTCGAAGTTAAGAACTCTGATACCACTGGTTTTGGGTCAAAAAAGGATGCACCCTTTCCATTCAGAGAAATATGCAATATACCATTTATTGTCTCAGGATTAAGCGAAGACCTGCCCGATGTCTTCACATTGTTATAATGAGAAACAACTCGTTCAGTTGCCATGCTGTGAGGGCCAAGGGTAAGAAAAGATGCTAGGAATTTCTTAAGTAAACCAGTACTTGCCTGTATCATCTTCCTAAGGCGAAGAGCATACATAGTTCCAGTGTCTTCCACCTCAACATGCTCAATTTTGGCCAGGTTGTTCCATGACTTGCAAACATCACTGACAAAATCTGACAGGCAGCTTGGTCCAAGAATCGAAGAAACAAGATTTCTACTGGCCAAAATTAAGTCCTTAGATGAAGATGCTTCTAGAATACTCATCAAACTCTCAACTGTGCCATCATTTTCTGTGTTCATACGTTGCCCAAGAAAATTGATGGCGGATTGCACAATTTCATTCCTTATAGCATTGCTATTCCTGTTTTGGCTTGTCACAAACTGATGTGCTGTACTGGTTCGTCTCACAGGTCTACCTTGCTCATTATCGTGCAACTCCAAATTCTGCTCCTCTTTCCCACCTGGAACTGGTATGTCATTCATA